GTGGTCGCGCAGTAGTTGTGAGGTAAGCTCTTGGGTAATGGAAACAGAGATGGGCTCGAACGGAGGGGCGGAGTGCTGGACTTGAAAAGGCGGGCGGACCACTCTCTGCTGCCCAGATCAACTCCTCCCGTGTGGTTAAAGCTCGCTCGACTCGCCTCGCCCCAGAAGGCTTCCTCTCAGGCGCGCAGCAAATGGCAGCCGTGCTCCCGCTGCTGGGCACTTCGCACGCGCAATGACGGCCAAGCGAGCGGGTGCGCGGTTGGCCGAACGCTCAGAATTTTCTCGCGGGGTGCTCACGCTGCATCACGGCTCTCGCTGTGCCAGACGCCTGGTGGACGACGCCGAACATGGCTGCCCCAGCCGAGCTGGATCGCGATGCCCCATGCGGCGTAGCCTGGTGGTTAGCTCCCGCGCCACTAGAAAGTTTTGTAGCCTTTCTCCGGCTTCTCCATGGACGCGCAGGCAGAGCGCGCGCCTGGCATTGTTATCTAGCAGGCGGCGCCCGTTCGAGCGCGATCAACTCGCGACGTGTATGCGTCTGTCTGATTTCATTCACGCGGCCATGAAGTCTTCCCGTGAAAAGCAAGCAACCAGCCGTCGTCGTCGCATCCACGCCAGGCCACCGACGTCGGAGCGCGCCCCTGCACCGGGGCCACGCACCTCGCCCTTATGAAGTCACCCTACTCGCGGACGGCATAGGTAAGGCTGACGAGCAGGTTCCATCTGGATGATCTGATATGACGAGGGTTGCATTATCGGCGCAGCTGGCGATAACGATCGATACGACTGCAGTCAATCTATACGACATGCCTCACCGATGAACCTGGGACATCTCTTTGCCGTGACCAGGACAACGCCCGTAGCCATCACGCTCCAACCTCTCAGGGTCATCACGTGGCTGCCCCGGGCCTACTAGTGGATGCCAGATCTTGGAAGAAGGAGCCACCAACGGTCGCATCTGCCGTGTGCATTGCACACCACCACCGCACAACTGCTACTCTGGACACGTTATTCCGCCAGCGCAACCACCGGCTCCCGAACCGCTACCGAAGTCTGGCCTGGGGATCGCCGAGGTCGTTGCTTTATGCACCACTTGAGCTCTGTTGGCCCGAAGCAGCCGTAGCGTCACGACGCTTTTTCTCGGCTGAGCAAGCAGGTGACCTATGGGGCGGGCGGTCGAGACTCGTACGAGGGCATTAGTTGCACCCTGTCGCATCGTGACCTTCCAGCCGTTGTTCGAATAGTCGAGACCCGTCAAATCGGCAACGGACATTCGGCATTGCCTAGGTGCGGACTGTCGGATTCCACACTTGAGTGCTTCTGAACAGAAAGCATCAAAATGATAATCGACGCCCGCGCATGTACATTATGAACTGGAGTCCCGAAAAGGCTATCTTAAACACGTAGAGGTTTGAGTATACAGATGGCCTGAAAAGGTATTCTCACTGAATCACTGTAGAACACTTCACAAACATGACATTGGCTGAGATCCTTATTAACGCGCCTGAGTACGCTGCTCAATAATTTCAACTCAGTGAGATGCGCTCTTTCCAAATGTCAGCTTTGTTCCTGCCACTCCAACCGCCACGTGCGGTACAATCGTGTCAAGAGCAAGCTCACACGGGCTCCTTCTCTCACTCCTAGATGCAATGTTGCGGGAGATCGTGACATCCGACCTCCACCATGCACACCTCAGGCGACAGTCCTCACCCCTACCAGGATATCCAAGCATCGCATAGTCTCATATGACTTCCATCCTGTTTTCAGCAGTATAGATCCCGCATCAATCACTCGGTCAGCTTCTAGTCGCTAGTCGCCAGCTTCGCGCGCAGTCTATCGTTCACGAGGTGCTTGGCGCAATATCGCTCCTCAAAGCATTGCTGACGGTAGGTAGCAATGACATTTTCCGAGATCGCGGGACGGCTGCTGAAAGGGTCAGGACACTCGCAGCCGCCGCCTGGCAAAGAGCACCTAATCGAATCTCATCCTTCGCCAGAGCGAGCCAGCATTTCCTCCTTCCTAGCTTCGCCCGAGTCAGACAACGGTCATATCACAGCCCGCGAAGGCATGCTCAGCATCCATCCTGGCGAACAAAGAGGACACTCCACCGTCTCTTCGTGGGCGAAACCTAGACCTTTATCAGACATTCGCGAAGTCACCGAATCCAGCTTTGCAGACACCCTACCTCGGAACGCCCTAACAAACAACTTTCCGCGAAGCACCTCTCGCACGGAAATGTCGCGGAAGCCCTCCGTTGCGACGAGACGACGTCCGAGCAACGACAACCGGTATGGTGAAAACGTAGAACCTGATCGAAAGAATAGCGTCGAAAGCAACGGCATAAGATCCACCCACAGGGGTCGGAGGTCTAGATCACCATCACCATCAAGTCCCGCGGATAATCACAGCATATCGAGCATATACAGCATACCAGCCGGCACCGTTCCGCCACGATCGTCTTCGCGACCTCGTGCACCTAGCAATTCTCGAACCCGACAGCCGCAGCAGATACCACCTATACACATAAACCAGGCGACTGCGACGAACACGCTTAGCGCCATACCTACTATACCGTTTCCGCCTCCTAGCAATAATACCAATACTATCATTCGGCATGGCCAATCGCAGTCCCCCTTGCGCCACATTGTGACTCGCCTTGATCCCATTACTCATGACACCCACCGACGCATACCCTCCAGAACATTTGTTCGCGATCCACTATCGAAAGAGCTGCTAGAGTTTCCATCACACCGACATCCGCGAATCGACCTTGGCCTGGACTTATCCGCAGGCATTTTCGTGGGCGGAGGCTCCATCGAAGGGACCGTCCAGATAAACGTCGACGATGCGGAGCGAATACGTCATAGAAGGACTCTGGACATTGCTCGGATATCTATCGATCTTCTTGGGACGGAGGAAGTGAGCAGCAACAGACGAGCTGTCTTTCTGAACCTCGCTACAGAGCTCATTGATGAGCAGAACCCGCCGCCTCAAAACATGGTAGATACCCAAGAGCCAATCAGTTCGGCAGACCTTTTCTGGCATCTGATGCCTTCTACGACCAATCTCGCGTTCAATCTGAGTCTACCTCTCAACGTTGGTCCTCCGCCCTTTCATTCAAAGAATGCGAGAATCCGCTACATACTTTGCGTATCACTTCTTATTCGCGATCAAGGAAGGCAATACATTGTCAGGACTTCCGAAGATGTCACAGTGCTCTCAGTGTACGATCGTATGAGGCATCTAACTTTTCAATGCCTAATCTCACAGTGCTGACATGCTCGCAGCTGAAAAGGCACTCATGTCGCTACCTAGTCCACTGACTGCCTCAGACGAGTGGATAAAGCCCCGAGAAACTACCGTCGAAGTCGTGCGCGTCACTGCAGGCTTGCATCGACAAGTCTGGGTCAGCGGAACCAGTCTCTACGTCGATGTTCATGTCGCCAACAACAGTCGCAAGCTAGTCAAAAAGATTGAGCTTCAGTTGGAGAGGGACATACTCTGCTACAAACACGTTTGTTATGCGAGCTTGACACACCATCTTGTCATGATGCTAATGAGAGTGCTTTGCAGGTTGCTGCGGCTACGATGGAGAAGTCTGCGGGTCAGGCTCGCATCTTTGACAGCAACGAGCGGTCTATCCTCAGTAAAGCAGTGGTCAAGCATGGTTGTGCCGGCTGGAACGGTGTTTCTGCACAACAGACTCATATCAGGACCTGTGATCTCGAAATACCACGCGGCCATGGTACGGTGAAGTGTGGTATGTACATTGGCACGAAGTTGTGTACTCGGTCCCTAACCAAGACAGGCAAATACTTTGAAGTCAGATACTTCTTGAATGTCATTGTAGCCAGCGGGCACACGTCAGTCTTGATGTCACTATCACCGATCAAGCTGACTCTCTGCAGAAAGCTAGTCACCGTTCAACTACCAATCGTACTCATCCACATGGTGCGTCTTAAAACCACCCCTCCTCTTCATCCTCTAATAAATGATGTCAGAATTCTCTTGACGTGGTCCCCAACTCCGTCGCCCAAGTCGCCATGGCCATCGAAGAAAAGCGCACAGCCCGCCATTCTCCACCGCGCCTAGGCCGCCGCCCCTCCCAATCCGTCCAAGGCCGCGCCTTCGCAGCACCGCGCATGCAATCCCTAGAACGCATGCGCGCACGCGACGAAGCCATCCAAGAACTCGGTCAAGCCCTCGAGCAAAGCCCGCGCAAATATGGTCTCCGCCGCGCGAACTCCAACTTTGACTACCACACCCCGCCTTCCAACCGTAAAGGCAGAATCCTAGGCGATGGCGAAGCAGCAGACCTCCAAGACCGTCTACGTCGTGTAAGATCGAACGAGACGATTGGCTCGAGGCCTCCGACTCTTCACCGTGTCAACTCTACGCGATCGAGAATAGGCGCTGCATCGGCTTTTGGATTCCGAGAAGCAGAGGTTCGAGAGGACATTGAACTTGGGGGGCTGGGTGCATCGGGTGATGGGCCATTGAAGGAGAGGTTGGAGAGAACTAGTGATCGGCAGTATCGGTTTAGCAAGAAGAAGAGCGTGGAGAAGTGGAAGGGTGTAGCGAACGTGGGGGTTGGTTGGTTGAAGGGGAGTGGGGTTAAGGATGAGAGGGAGAGGGAGGGATGGGTGTGATGTGCGCACTTTGTTCCCTTTCACAGGCTTCCCGTACTTTGGATAGCGCGTACGTTACGTCGAATGATTATACTTTTCCCTTTGGTTCTGCTTGCCTGTGCCATCGTCACATATGATAGAGATTTAGTAAGCGATCGAAAAACTTGGTCAAAAGTAAATGTAAGTTATTTAATGTGTTCTGTCTTACGACAGCCTGAATGCTTCGATGTATGATACGATCATGTCTCATAGTAGTCATTAACCCCCTCTTCGCCTTCCTTATGCAATATCATACAGTATTATACACGGCGTGTCGAGGTAATCGTAACAGGAAGGTTTGCGCAATGGTATAGCGTCGTGCAGCTAGAAAGCTTATGACCTGCTCTTCGCGAGCTCAGACTGAGCAGTCGACGTAGGCCCGCCCTTGACACGCTCTCCACCAGTAACCTTCTTTTCTCCCTCAGTAATGTCGTGCAGCGCCTCGCTGGTGATGGGCTCTTTGGCGTGACTCTGCGCCTGCGCAGTGGGACCTCCAGGTACGGGACCATCCTCACCCGTCAACTTCTTCTCGGCATCGGTGATCTTGCTCAGCGTCGACGAGTCTAGCTTTCCGGATGCGTTGGAAGTGTTGGCGCCAGTGTTGTTGTTATTGTTGTTGGACGGAGCTGAGCCGGCTGTAAGAGCAGACTGAGCGATGGATGTAGGACCTCCTTTCATGACCTCATCGGAGCCGGTGAGGACCTTCTCGCCCTCGGTGATGTCGTGGATGACTTGTGCGGTGAGGTTCTGGCCAACGTGCTGTTGGGCTTTCGCGGTAGGGCCGCCCTTGTGTGGCTCGTCCTTGCCGGTGATCTTCTTCTCGGCAGCGGTGATCTGCGAGATGAAGTTGGAGTCGACCTGGACAGACATGATGCGTGTTGTTGTGAAAGCGCGGTGGTTGCTCAGGTCGTTGATGTTGTTCTTGAGCGGTGCTCTTTGCGATGTGATGCGAGCTGTTGGTCGTGCTGCGAGGAAAACGTTGCGGTTGATACGGAGGAGTTTGGAAGCCATTGTTGCTGCTTGTTTATATGTCGATGGGTAGTGAAGTGGAAGGTGCAACTGTGAGGTGTGTAGGCGGATTATGTAGTGTGATGGAGTACTGATGTAATGCGAAATTGATATCGTCTGAGGTGTGCGCTCAACGTGACGTTTACTATGGGGAAAGATGGATTGCAATGCGCATTTGCAACTTGTCGGTCTGCCCGTGCACCGCAAATCTCTGCATCAATGGCGACGACATCGTGCTGATGACCCTGAGATGCAGGTACCACATCTCCGATGGACGCGGCGACTGTGCGATGCGCGCGCATCATGTGGTGGAGCCATGATGTCAGCATTCTGGGGAACTACGGCCATGACGATTCGGGTGCACTAGCGGTCAGCTAACATGGCGATGCGATTTAGGGGTCCAGATGCAGATTTCACAACATCAACTACGACGCGATCAATGCAGAGAGTAGTTGCTCAGCTACTGAAGGTCGTTCGGGTGGGCGTAGTTCACTTCAGTCTGACGCTTCGGAGATTGCGGAATTACCGGCTTTGGTGGCGCATGTCAGACCATACGAGTTTCTCGCCCGTTGCTTGATTGCAACGCCATTGGGTATTAGCAAGTATTGTTTCGGTCGCACCTACTTGTACGGCATGCGTTACGCCTTGCTACGCTGTGTGTATACAGTCAAGTGCTCCGAGATGGCACTCGCGGCGATAAGACATACGACGGAACGACTATGAGGCCGCTGCTGCAGAAGCTGACCGCCATATAAGAAGGGTTGGTGCATTGTATGCTACGTGCACGAAGTTTCCAACAAGAGAAGAAAATATCTCATCGCTGTGTAGCTCTTACGAAATAGATTCCCAGCTTGTTGGTACCTAGGTAAACTCCTACAATGTCATTCATCAATCCAGCCACACCCGTGTCTCTCCTAGGTAGACATCGCGTTCTCAGTCCCACGGCAGCCGTCCGGGTCTCGCCTCTGTGCCTCGGTGGCATGAATTTCGGTGAAGCATGGAAAGCCACTCTCGGAGAATGCACCAAAGAAACGGCCTTTGCGATGCTGGATTACTTCTACGAGCAAGGCGGCAATTTCATCGACACCGCCGTCAACTACCAGTTCGGCGAGAGCGAAGAGTGGATTGGTGAGTGGATGGAAGAGCGAGGAGTCAGAGATGAGATGGTACTTGCGACCAAGTTTACTGGTATGCAGATTACCGAGAGAGAAAAGGAAGGCGGTGCGAGGTGCAAGAGTAACTACGGAGGCAATAGCGTGAAGAATATGCATACAAGTATCGAGCGTTCGCTCAAGGCGCTCAGGAGTAGCTACATCGATATCGTAAGTTCCTTCTTCGGGCTCTGTATTCCGCTACGACTGTTGTGATTGACTGACTCATAGTACTACGTCCACTTGTGGGACTCAACAGCCTCCATACCAGAGCTGATGAATGCCCTCAACGACCTCGTCTCCTCCCGCCGAGTACTCTACCTAGGCATCTCCGATACCCCAGCCTGGATCGTCGTAAAGGCGAACTGCTACGCCCGCCAGCACGGTCTCCGCCAATTCTCAATCTACCAAGGCCGCTGGTCCGCCGCAGACCGTTCCTTCGAGCGCGAAATCATCCCAATGGCGCTTGACGAAGGCATGGCCCTTGCACCATGGGGCGCTATCGGCGGAGGAAGCTTCAAGACAAGGGCGCAGAGGGAGAACCCAGAAGACGGCGGCAGGAAGATGGAGATGATGGTCATCGGCAACGAACAAAAAGTCAGCAATGTGCTCGAGGATATTGCGAACACCAAATCTCCGGTCCCGCCTATCACTACCGTCGCTCTCGCATACGTCATGCACAAGTCACCCTACGTCTTCCCTATCGTCGGCGGTCGCAAGATCTCGCATCTAGAGGGTAATATCCAGGCTCTTGGTTTGAGTCTTACGCCAGAGGAAATCCAGCAAGTTGATGAGGCCTATGGCTTCGAGATGGGGTTCCCGCATCAGTTCCTCAATCCAGAGAATACGGCAATCATGGGACCAGAGGATAATCGGTTTGCGAATAACATGAGCGTTTTGGATCATGTCAAGGGGCTAAAGCCGATTCCGCCGCACCAAGTGGCGGTAGACGAGAAGTGACTGGTCTTTCCGTTGGAGCAGGCGACGTGGTGTTCGCCGGCAAAAGATTGCACACGTTAGCCCATAGAGACTACGAATGGTGAACGGGATAAGGCACACATTACAAAGCCGGAGCGCGAAGACTTCAAGATCTTTCCTATTATAGAGACTGAAGAGACAAGTCAGCTTGTAGCTTCCCTCTTCCACCCTCGTCATCAAAGTCTAATCGCTGAACCTAGACGTCGATTGCATCTGCATCCATTCACTTTTTGTGTGTGCCAAGGAATTGAGTTGCAGCCTTCGCTTCCTCCTGGTAGTCGCGATCCGTTTGTACCTCTTCGTGTACCGCTATGCCCGCCATCTTAGCTCTAGTCTGAAACGAATATCCTTTAAAGCGGAATGTAAGTACCCGCTAAGCCTAGAGTATGATTGCATCAACACTTCTCAATGTCTGATCTGACTCAAACAGAAGGAACAAGTAAACCATGACTTCTTCACTACTCCGTTCCGCCAACCCCAACGTTCGCGTAGAAGACGAGGTCTGGGACATGATCTTCCCTGACGCGAAGACCGAGAAGCACCAAAACAAGGCTGGAGATACCGCTCAATCCACCAACCCGATCACCGCCAAAGACATCGACATCCGAGACTGGCCCTTTGCAGACCGCAAGAAACTCGAGTCGGAATACAACCGCATCAAGGTCTTCATCGACGCCGACCTTATTACAACGATATCAAGGCCACTGTTTCGAGCGACTTCGACAACAGCCAGCGAGCTTCTCATGAACGATACCGTCATACTACCCACAACCATCGACGGGGACGCGGTGTCTCGACTTGTCGATTACCTCGAGGACATTATATCGAATCCCAACAAGCCGCTACCATTTATCCTCCATCTACCCATGACATTATCTCTGGGTATATGCGCCGCTGCCGTCGCGCTCGGGATGGACAAGTATGTCGACAACCTATACAAAGAGTGCGAAGACCTCCTACGAACATGCCTACCCTCGTGGACAACTATCGACGCCATTACATCATACAAGACAACCACGCCGCACTTCTCCCGCCTCTTCCGCATCATGGTACTTGATCTCGCTACACGCATTTGGAACGAAACAGCCTCCAACGTTGAAATCTTCCAGATCCAGTTAAATCCTGTCCTTGAAAATTCGGTTAAGAGGGCGAATGAGAGATATAAAAGCCTTCTGTGCAGGAGGAGGAAGTATGAGTTTAGAATAAGAACGGGTTACGAGTATAGACATGTGAATTGGGGATGGTTGGTGCGCACGAAGGAAGATGAGGAGGATGAGGTGGGGCTTGACGGGGACGATTATGATGGGCCCGTTAGGAGGAGGTGAAGATGGAGGATTACATGCATGGGGCAATGGTTGATCTACTAGAAAGTAAGACAGCTATAGTAATTGTCCGCAAAGAACTAATCTAAAAGAGATCGATCGTAAGACATTGCCCAGGATCCAAACTTTTATTTACCCTTTTCAATAGCCTCAAAAGCATGCTCCCTTGCCTTCCCCGTCTCCCTCATCTTCCAACTCTCAATATACCCCTCGACTTCCTCACACCCATTCTCCTCCCCGGGAACAGGCTCCCCCCACGTCCCCCAATACGGCACAACACCCGTCCACGTCTTCTTCACCAGCTCCTTATCCTTGAGATCGTTCCTATCCTCGCTGGGCCCGCCGGTCCGTATCTTTGCGCTTGCCTGTTGCCACACAAGTAACGTTAGCACAGAAAAGGGAACGTAGCACTAAAAACTACTGATGTCTTTGCAAAGAGATGGAGGGAGAGAGAAAGAGGCAAAGAGAAAGCAACCTACACTCTCAATCCTAACCCTAAGTATACTCGTACTCTTCAACTCCGCACTACTCGGGGGCACCCTACTCTTCTCCCAGCGCTGCGGCAACATATTATCAGTAATAGCTTTCATGGCGTACAGTGCTTCGTCGGCGTCTTCTACGAGTTCAGCGTAGCCGTAGACGATGGCGGAGCGGTAGTTGCACGAGTTGTGGAAGGGGGTTAGGGAGAGGACGAGGCCGTCGAGGAAACTGGCGGCTATGGTGATGGGGAGACCGGGAGTGGAGGTTTCTTTCGAGGACTTGAACATGCGGCCGGAGACGTAGCCGTGGATGTAGAGGGATTGGGGGGTGGTGGAGGGGTCTGCGGATTGATCCTATTTATTGTGTCAATATTCGTTGCATTATCTACCCGTAGACTCTCTGCTTCGAAATGGAGCGGAGGAAGGAAGTGACGTACCTCGTAGTTACCCGTACATCCCAGCATTGGCAAGACGACCGGGAAAGGATGCTCTGGATCCACGAAGGAGACGTGGAGGATTGGACAGGCGTTTACTAGACTGTGGATTGTTGCGTAGTCATACGTGCCTGGGTTTATTGATGTGAGTATGCGATTTCGAGCACGCAAGAGTGCGAAAAAGATGAACGTACCTCGATTCGCCAATCGACCGAGTTTGTTGACGGCGGTTTTGGGGTATTCTGGCGATGCCATTGTGTGATGTCTGTTGCTGAATCTTTGAAGTGACTTCGTTCTGACCGCAAGGAAAGATTGGCAAGAGAGAGAGAGATTGATGCTGAGGTCTCAAGCTGAACTGGAGTGCAACAATATGCGAGGTTCAATCAAGCTTTGTACCTTTTCCTCCAAGCTTTCTGTGACTCCCAATTCGTGACTCCTTCACCATACATACATGCACAGACGTGCGACGCTCATCAGGCGGGCCATTGTACACGTCCAAAGGGTCTGGAGGATGACGGCACCCGGCAGGACTTGCTGGATGCGGAAGCGGGGCCGTAATCGTGTGAGTAATCATTGGTGGATGGCGTTTACACTGCGCGACTACCATACCTCGCGTACACGGTTAGGCGTGCAGGGCGTCTAGAATTGTGAGTAGCCTCACAACAGTGTACATACCGCGGAACATTGGCTGCGGATACTTCGGGTTATCCACGGCCTGTATGCAAATCAGAGCTGCAAGTATGAGGCGATAGTATTCCATATCCATCTATGATACTAGACAGAGTACAACATGTAGTCAAAGTAAAACCTAGTCCCAATCCAATCCGGGAGAGCCTCAATGGGCGATGCAGTCCAAAAGTCCAATTCCAAAACTCCGTTCCATGCAATTCTTCCTCCGCTCTTCTTGACCCATTCTCCAGTCTATCATCTGAAACTCCACGCCGTTCTCAGTCCACCGTTGACACTCTCCAACTTCAGACACTGATACGGACTGCTCTGCGGATCATAATACAACCCTTCCAGCATCCCGCTTCTCCGGTCAAGCGCCACGTAGTAGAACCCGCTGATGGTAAGCCCGCAGCCCGAGTCGTCGAATGTCGCTTGTTCAGCGTCGTTCGTTACGGAGTTGAAGAGGGGTTGTGGTGTGATCTCGACTTCGGCACGGCCAGTTTGCGCGTTGCGGACTATGCGGTAGGGCGAGGGCTGGAGTTGCGAAGTATGCGTCGAGGTAGGAGCGGCGGGTGCGTAGTTGGAGGAACCTGTCGAGGCCCAGGGATTGGACGGTGGAGGGTCGGCGGAGAAGGAAGAGGGTATCGTGGTGGAGGGCGGGGGCTGAACGGGGTCAGGGGTGCTGCGGTTCAGGCTCTTTACAAAACATCGCTCTTTCCAGCGCATGAGTATCCAGTTCTGGCCCAAGACTTCGGTGAGCCACTTCTTGCTCGTCAGGGCCCTGACCACGTCTTCGTCGCTCATCTTCTGGAACGGGGGCAGTTTGCGCCAATATGTTGCGTCGTTTGCGGCGTTTGATTTGAAGGATTCGGTGAGGAGGGTGTAGTTGTTGAAGTCGAGGATCTCGCCTTCGAGGTAGGTTGTGATGGAGGAGGTACGCGTGACGGACGGTGTGGCATTGCTGGGGGAAAACATGGTATGCGGATGCGGGTGGGAAGGTACGTTATACGCTTCCATGGTTGCGGAGAGAGACATCTGCTCCCAGTCGACGTCGTGTATTGTGACCTTGACGGGCCATCGGTCTTGGTGCGGTTGTGCGTCGGGCTGCGAGTTCCGGCTCGTGGAGACTTCGCTGGGATTCCATATCCACGGTCGTATGGGCGGTGGGAGTCCCGTGTGCCGGCTGTATGTGGTAGTCGCGGCAGCGGGCATGGTCGTCGCATGCTGACAGCCCGAGAGTATCGCGCCCGGTGCCAGCCACGATGTCTCGGTGGGCGGCGGTATGGCGAGGGTGTTTGCGACGAAGTCTGCGTGCTGCAGGAAGAAGTCCTTGGTCAGAAAACCGGCGTCTCGCGCACGCTCCCAGCTCTCGTCGTCGTCGCGCGAGTGGCGTATGCGCGACAGGTACTTGACGGTCTGCTCCAGCATGGGCGACGTGCGAGCCTCGGAGTCTCGGTGCGAAGACATCTGGCGGGCGGAGCGTTCTCGCTGGACAGTCTCGGGGAAGAGGCTGGATCGGGCGGCAAGCATGTCTCGCAGGCTGCGGTGTGAAGCGTGGCGTGGCGGTGCTTCGCTGCTGGTGGCGGCTTCCCGGGTGCGCGCTGAGAAGCGTGGATGGCGACGCACGCCTGCCGACTGGAGGATGGCCGTCGACCTCAGCGAGCTCTCGGGCGCGCCCGGGGCCTCAGTGGCCGGCGACCAGTCATACAGGCTGTTCTGACTGGGCACGCGGTCGCCATAGTTGTTGTCGCTGAGGCGGCTGAGGCGTGACATGACGCGGCGCAGGCGGTCCCGCTGCTCCAGCTCGTCTCGCTGCCTTTCCAGCAGGCGCAATCGCTCCTGGGACCGGTCCAACCGCGCCTGGTCGCGCTCACGTGCTGCGCGGAGATAGTCGACGTGGGCGCGTTCGATGTCGTCGTCGCTGGGAATGCCTGCTTCGTCCGTCGGGGTGCCCAGCGTGGCGGCGAGGTTGAGCACGTCGTCGTTTACGGGGCTCTCGAGCTCGCGCAGGGCCGAGATGAAGGTGGGTTCCGCGTCGTCCTATTGAGCGGCTACGTCAGTCATGCACTTAGACCACGGCTATGTGACAACATGTGGACGGCAACATCTGAACGGCGGGTGCTTACAGGCGAGTTGGCGGGCGGCATTATGACCAAGCAGGCGGCGCAGCGGGCATGGCGGGACGGAGCGATGGATGAGCTGTCGCATGCAATGCACGACGTCGGATGCACGATGTCTCAAGAGCAAAGGCGTGTCCTCGGCGAAAGTGACGCGACATGTCAAACTCTTAAGCCTGAGCCATTGCCCCGAAAAACCAAAGACAACTCTGCCTGGCGACCGTCGCGGCACCTGATAGCGCACGCCATCTCGCCATGCACTTTCCCCGTTGTCCCGCTGCTGGCTTCCGCTCCGCCCTGCCAATAGTCGGCGCAGAGAGGCATGCCGCACAACTCAATGCATTCCTCGCTTGCCCCAGATTGCCCTCGTCGGTCCCGCGGGCATGGGTGGGTGGTCTGTGCTGCGACAATAACCTCAACTACACGCGTCACATTGACGATGCTGGACACTACATAGCCTATCTCATAGCAGGCAGTCAGATCTTGCGGCAGAACTAGACATTGATGACTTTCAACCCGTACGCGCTAGCACCCCATTCAGAACCCCATCACGACAGTCGCTCCTTCCTCTCCAACCCCTCCAACACCACCAAAATCCTTCCCACCAACTCCGCAAACTCCCCATGATCCCCCCACGCATAAGGCCCCAACCTCGCCTTACTCGCCCTTACCAAATGCATCAACTTCACCCTCAACTCCCTCCTCGGCTCCTCATTCGTACACATCGGAAACCTCAAATCCAACAATGCACTCCTCGCCGTCTCCACCATCGTCTTGCTACACCACACATGAAAACCATGCATAATCACATCATCCAGACTCAGCGGCGCGTGCACCGTCCCCGGTGGCATTAGTAGTAAATCCCCTTTCTTGAGGTAGATTGGGAATCCAGGTTTGTTTGGCGCGTACTGAAGACCAGCTTGCCGCGATACAGCCCATTCCTCGCGTTCAGAGGGGGAAAGCGACCACGTAAACCAGAGTTTCGAGCCAGACTCACACAACACACCGGTGTAAAGGCCGTGTTCGTCAACGTGAGGGAAAGACCATACGCCTCGTTTGCCCCATAAGGCAAACCCAGTTTTACTAGAGAGATCGCTGGGGTTCGGGTCCGAGTGGTTGGACATGCCACCGTATTCAGTCGCTTCGGAGAGAATGCTGTAGTCGGTGAGGTTGTCGAGCTCCCAGGGTAATACGTTTTGACGTACGGGCCGGATGTCGAGCAGGTTTATCGGGAGGGCGGTTGGGTCGGACATGCGTTTTAGGGCGGTGGAGATGGTGAGCCGGCGGGTTATGTTCTTGGAAGTGAGGTCTTGGATGTCCATGTAAGCTTCAGCTGAAGCGTATTTGCGGAATTTGAGGACAGCTTCGTAGTGTTGGGCAGAGTAGAGGGTGCGTGGTTCCGGGCTGTTGTTTAGTTCCAAGGGGACGAGGAGGGGGATTTGGAGGGTGGAGCGATGGAGTAGGTCGCGTGCTTCTGTAGAGGTGCATATGATGAGGTTGTTGTCCCAATTCGGTGTGGACTGCTGGATGCGCTGTTCGTACTGGGTAGCGGTGATGGGCACAACATCTTCTCCAGGCTTGATGATGTCGAAGTAGCCCTTAGATTCTGGGATGAATCTCTTCTTCCGGGCTTGTGCGATGTCAGAATGTTGTACCTGCGTGATCAGGCCTTCCAGCATACAGATACCGCGCTTCAGTGATGACATCGCGGTGGCAGGATAGCTCCTGATGAAGTCTTCAGTCTCGATGGCTTGATGCATTTCCGAGAGAGAGTAGGGACTGACTTGTTCAAATGGTTGAACAGTAGCTTCTGACAAGCGCCTCCTTTTGCATGGAGGAAGGCTGTTTGTCACATCTTCCGTACGCCTTTTAGTCGGCTTGGTATCAGCAAACATCCCTATAGTCACTCCTAGTACTCGCAAGTCGAAGTTTGATCATCGCCCGTACATCGAGCGGTACAGCGGTTGTTATATCCCCTTGACTGGTGCTTGTCACCCGTCTCAGCGCATTCTCGAACTGATGGACCTCATCAAGGACTTTCGCGAACATGTAAGAGAACTCGATAGAGCCAAATAGATATGCCTGGCACGTTTCACTAGTCACCAAGGGACGAGGAGGTCGAGCTCCTCACTCGGTTACTCGACAAGCAACGCACTCAAGCTGAATTAACGTGCAGCAAAGCTTAATGTATAACAAGAAGTTTAGCAAGTAAAGTATGATCTATTGCAAACAATCCACACCGTATATATGCCCATCTGACCAACTGAATTCCGATTATCGGCCTTTTCTTTACTATCTACATGTCACTCACACAAGTCCCCTGACGTATCCCATGATCATAATTTGCTGGAGACACAGTAAGAGACGCCTTGGCGAGCTCTACTAGGCAGAAGTGTGATCAATTGGGCGAGGTCGGCTGTCATTGTTATTCACTGCCAAGGCCACTTAGTGCTTCCCTTCTCTGTATAG